ATCGTGATGACATATGATATACTTTATATATATATTATAGTATAAGACAGTATATATTATATTATATATATATAGTTGAATGAGTATATAGATAATATATGATGTATTGTATGTGTGAGGTTTATTATCCATTGTGCATGCTTAGTGGTTGTATATATAATGTAGTACAGTAATAGTATATCATAAATAATGACGATACACACACACACACTATGCAACACAGCAAGCGAATCACCACACTTCTTCTTCTCTTAATCCTAATTCCTCTATCCTCTCTCTTCTCTCTCTCTCTCTCTCTCTCTCTCTTCTCGTCTCATCTCTCGTCTCTCTACTCTCTCTCTCTCGCTCTCTCCTCCTCCTCTCTCTCTCTCTCTCTCCCAGTCTTCCTCATATTAGATAAATTAGATTATATGATAGTATGAATATATATGATATATATATTATATATATAATTATATATATATATATATTATTATTATATATAGATCACATAATTATGACTATTGGAATATATATGTATAATAAAGTTATACATTACATATATCTAATATATATATATTTATTAGACCCTTAATTAATATTCCAATATATATATATGTATATTATATATATATACTTATTACAATAATATTTATATTAGTATAATAATATATTTATTATCGCTAAAATTACTATACTATGTGTGTGGTGTGGTGTGTGTGGTGTGTGTGGTTATAATATCTAATTTTTGTGTGTGTGTGTGGTGGTGATGTGTTGTGTGTGTTCGTGTCTAGTGCGGTGTGAGGTGTATGTGTGTGTGTATAGTGTGTAGTTGTTGTGGTGTGGCGTATGTGTGTGTGTGTGTGTGTGTGTTTCTATAATAATAATAAATATTATAATGGCGTATATAGTAGTTAATATATGATATTCAAATATATAGTAATATATTTATATATATATTATCTAGATTATATATGAAGTTATATAGATATATTAATATATATAAGATACACGATAGAATACATGTATATCATAAAATGGGGATTATTAACAATACGATACATTTATGTGTTACAACACACACACACACACACCAGCGAACAGAACATAACATTACAGTATATATATCTACATTATATAATATATTATATTATGTTATATATATATATAAGGAGAGTACTAGATATGAATATATATATACTTATATAAATATTATATATATATTAACTATATTTATATAGTAATATTAAATTATTTGATATATCATATTAAGCGACGATATAGCGAGTAGTAAACAGAGCATAACATTTAAGGTTAAAGATGATAATTAGATATATTATATATATACACTATATATTTAATACTATATTATATATATATATATACATATTACACGAATATCACTATACTATACATACATATGATGTGATATATTAATATAATTATATCTATATCATATATATATATTATACTATAATTTATATATATATGGTTATTATAATATATATATATACATATACATATTTGATACATACATACATTTATGTGTATAACATTTATAACTGATAATATATTATAATTTTTATTAGATATATATTATAGAAGTAATCGTATGATGATGGTGTGTGTGTGTGTAGACTGTGTGTGGTCGTGAGAACAGACGAGCGAAGTGTTGTGTGCCGGTGTGTGTGTGTTGTGTGTGTGCGTGTGTGTATGTGTGTGGGTGTAGTGTGTGTATGTATCATTTTACATTATATACATTATATCATATATAGATCATATAGACAGAAACTATAGGAAAGTACATAAACATAGAAAACTATATAATATAGATAGATGCCCAGTAATAAGAGTATATATAGTAGTTATGAGCGGATGTATGTGTGTGGTATGTGGTTTGTGGTGAGACTGGTGTTGTGTGTGTTGTATTGTACTGTGTGTGTGTGAGTGTGTAGTGTGTGTGTATGTATGTGTGTGTGTGTGTGTGTGTAAATGTGTGTGTTGTGGTGTAATGTGTGTGTGTGTGTGTATGTGTTGCTGTGTGTGTTGTGTGTGTGTGTGGTGTGTGGTGTGTGTGTGTGTGTGTGTGTGTGTGTGTGTGTGTGTGTGTGCGCGTGTGTGTGTGTGTGTGTGTGTGTGTGTGTGTGTGTGTGTGTGTGTGTGTGTGTGTGTGTGTGTGTGTGTGTGTGTGTGCTGTGTGTGTTGTGTGTGTGTGTGTGTGTGTGTGTGTGTGTGTGTGTGTTTGCGTGTGAATATATGTGTGTGTGTGTCTGCCGGTGGTAAATTGTTCAGTCTGTACTGTATTAGCGTCTCGGCGAAGGTTGCGGTGGGAAACTCCTCAAGGCGCAGTTGTCCCCCGGGCGGGATTGTGAAAATGATAGGTAAGTCGGGCGAATCGGAGGAAGGCGAGTGGCCGGATGCGGCCAAAACGGTTCTCAGACACACACGCCTATGTACGCACGCGGGAAAGTATGGGATTCATGTTGTCTGGCACCCACGAGCACGCAGACCTACTGGACCC